ATATCAGTTGTGCTGCTGCCATCAACACCTTTGTTTCAAGACGTTGGAGCTTGGCCTGTTTTTCAGTGTAGTCCTGTTTCTCTGACTTTGACTAACTGGATGGGCTCTCTTCATCCTCTGACATGGGAGCTGGCTCGGAGCTCGTCTGCCTGGCTGTGTTTTTCTTGGACGAGGCCGCCTGTGGAGCTGGTTGACAGTTGCCTTTTGTATCTATGCTTCTTTTTCTATGTCAGTTTCTGTCTCCTTGAACCCCAGTCGGCCTCAGCAGATGGCCGCTCACACTGAGCCTGGTTCTGCTGGAGGTTTCTTCCTATTCAAAGGGAGTTTTTCTTCTCCACTGTTGCTACAAGCATGCTTAGTGTGAGGGATTGCTGAAGAGGTTTCTTCCTGTTCAAAATCCACCTGCTCACACCGTCTAAAAACCATGTGGGACTCAGCTGAAAATCCTAAAAAGAAAAGGGCGAGGACGTATTTGGACAAAGATCTGGCTGAGCAAACGAGGCTACTACGGTCTGTCAATGTAACAGAAAGAACTCAATTTCTTTGTGTTTCCTCTGAGAGGAAGAAGAAGAAGAAAAAGAATTCTTGTTTGCCCACTGAGCGATTTACCCACGACCACCTTACAACGGCCTACTGAATTTCAAACATCTTTGACCTTCTGATTCCTGATGGGGAGGCTGATCGCCCCTCATTACCCCCTGCACTACACCACGCACCATAAGACTAAAAGTCAGGCCGATTCTCCAGTCGTGTGAACCTTTTACATCTTGTTTTGGTCTTTTCTGCATTAATTGGCTGCAGCCTGCAGGTTAATGAGCACCGTCTCCGTTTGAGCCCATTCCTGTAGAGTTCAACCATCGGCATTAACAGGATGCTGTGACGGCCTTATGACCGGAACGATGCGGTCGGCGGCCATGTTTTAGGTTTGAAGACAGGGCAGAGCCACCATGTGCTGCCTAAAGCTGTGCTGGCAGCTTCCTCCGATCATGCTGCTACAGCAGAAATATCAGAACTCATTTCCAATGGCCATGAAGTCCTCGATTGGGTTTAAGTAAAGTTGTTGTTGTTTTTCTGCCCTTCAGAAACCAGGGATGGACCTGGCAGACACCTACATCGTTTTTGTTCGGCAGAACCAGGACATCCTTCGAGACGGCATCAACGACGAAGTCTGCATCGAAAAAGTGTTTGATGTGAGTTCCCTTCCTGTCGAGTTCGTTTTCTTCATTAGTTTATGAATAATGAAGCAAATCTGATATAATGCAAAGTTTAGTACATCCTGTCCTCTACATTTTTTATAGTTTTGATTTGAATCAATGAAAAGCAAAAACACCAAAAGCTGGGATTCCTTTCTTCTGATGGTAATAAGGTCTAGTTAAAATGACATTCTTTACCAGCTTCCATCTTAGCAGACAGTGTCTGCTTGATGACTTTGGAGCAAAAGGAAAATTCAGCTCAGGAAAACGGAGGCTTGGAGAAAAACTCCCTGAATAATGTGAGACAGATGTCTTACCTGGACATCTTCTAGTCTCTTTAGCCAAGCAGCTTCTCCAGGTGGAGGAACGTGGAGCTGAAGGTCGTCCTTCAGAGGAGCTGGATGGATGAGGACGAGCTCAGGTGTGTCTGTCTCTGTGCTCTCGGCTCTCCTCGTCTCTGGAAGCTCTGCTGCTGGAAGGCTAGCTGCGGGCTGGGACACAGAGAAACAAAGTCCCTCCTGGAATAAATGAGCTTAGATCTTCTGACACCTGAATATGCCTCTGATTCCACCCATCCCATCATATCTCTGGGTGTGTGATGAGGAGGAGGAGGACCTCAGTCCTCTGCAGCCTCCTACAGGTTCTCCTCCAAGTCATCTTGTGTCAGAAGACTTCTTCTGGCTTTCTCCTTCAACCAGTCCTTAAACTCGCAGGGAAATTATAAATAAATGTCAAATCATTCTGGCTTAAATATGCCTATAAATGTATTCTTTATCAGACGATATTGTCCCAAAAGTTAGAAAATTTCTGTTTAAAAAAAAAATCCTTTCTTACAATCTGTGTTTTTTTCAGGTCAGGCCAGTTAGGTAAACATCAGCCTCAACACCTAAATTCGGCCAATCATATATCAACGGTCATCTGTCAATCAAATTTTTTCAGTCATAGCATCTTGATTCATATGTCACAGCTAATATACGCAACGGTTGAAATCCTTTCCTTTCCCATTGAGTTCCGTCCCAGTGTTCACGGGGATGGACGTCTGTGTCTTCAGCAGGCGTAGAGCTAACAGAACTGGCAGCGTTGCGAGGCAAGGGCTCAAACATGTACGGCTGGAAGCCTTCTACACCAAACCAAGCTTCTGCCGCCCTGGCGTCCTCTTCCACAACATCTTCATCCCGCTTTCCTCCTCTAAATAAAAATGGATGACGGAGGAGACTCATCCACGACCTCCGACACTAAACTCTCCTCCTCTTGCATGTTTCCTCTGTCCATAGCGTTCCTTGACAGTGTCGTTTTTAAGTCACCAATTTAGTGCTACTTGGTCCCAATGGAATTTCCTATTGGGAACCTACTAGCACTAAGTTGCTAACTGGTTAGCAACATGCTTCCGATAAATCGGCTTCAACCAAACATCTTTGTGAACCTTCCATCACAACAATCCCGCCCCCTTGATAATCGACCAATCACATTCACTTTATTCCCTCGTGTAAAGTCGGGCACCACTTGGGAGAATTTGTAACTGCAATTGATGGAACAGCCGTTTCCCTACGACTTTAAAGGCTCCTCCTGCAGCCTCTGTAGCTCCTCCAGAGTCATCCAGCTCTGCTGGATGTCCATCCATGGAGGTGTTTAATGCTTGCAGATGGTTCCAAGCCTTAAAGGGAACCAGAACGTCCTCCATGATCCATCTGGCGGGTTCCTGAGCCTCCATTGATGCTGCTTCTTCCCTGGTTTTCTGCAGAGAATCTCTGTGCGGCTGCAGGCTGACTGATGCAGATGACGGCCTCGTTTTTAACTGACTTTATTTGTTTCTCTTTACAGTTTTGTGTTATTTGTCACAGTTCTAGTCAATTCTCTGCGTTTTTGTGAATAATTTGTTTCAGTAGGTGTGAATATTTAGGAAGAATGGAAGATGATGCCAAGAGCTTTCTGCTCATTCCTCCAAACGTCCTGAAATGCTACCAGCATGGTTTATACAGCCCCCCTCCCATGGAAACCTGACTAACAGCATGATTTGATCATATTTAGGTTTTTCTGGACATATACAGTGTTTACTCTGGATCTGCCTTCGACTGCGGCTGTTTTTTCCTCTTTGATTCTCCACTTTCAGAGCAGCAGGAGGTCCCTGTGCTGCTGAAAACAGCCACTGCTTCTATTGACCTGTTTATCACTTAGGAACACTGAGAGCATTTGGCTCGCTCTGCTGGAGCCAAAAACCCTTTCCCACCTCATCCCACCGCCCCTCCGCCCCACGCCGTCTGCTGCCTTCACTGGCTGCTCCCACCTCCAACATTCAGATTTAGCAGAATATTCTAGCGGTGAGTTTCTAACACGCCTCGCCGTCAGGAGAGGACGCAGTGATTTAGGCATGGCGGTTCAGGACTTGCTACACATTAGCAGCACGGAGCAGAGCGATGGATTTCTGCCACCCGTCGCCTCCTCCGAGGGTTCAGAGGGAGCTGGGAGGTGCACTGCGCTGATTGGTGTGTGTGTGTCTGGATGTTGGGGAGGGGAGATGGAGGAGAATGAGTCTAATGGAGCTCAGAAGCACCCAGTCATGCACTGAGGAGGAGGTGACAGCGGGGCCTTCAAGTGTCTGAGCTAAGTCCTTCAGTATGAATCCAGCACGTACTCACCCCCCCCCACCATGTGTGCAACAATAGGAGTAAATATTGTGTTGAACGGCAGAATCAGGCCCCCTAACATGAGTGTTTGGACTGTTTACGGGACTCTCAGTTAGTCAATCAAATTCATTTGCAGCCTCTCTGCTTTAAAGACACAATTTGTGACGATCGACGGATGCAGAAAGATGTGCAGCATAAACACACAGCACACATTAGGAGTTGATTTGCTTTGTTCCCACACACACACACACACACTGAGGAGCAGTATGTCCAATGTACAGCTCCTCTGCAGCTCGTTTTATTCTGTTAATGAAGAGGTTTTCACTTCGGTTCAGTTTCTCCAAATAAAGTGTTTATTTAAATTACACGCATCATTTCGACTGAGAAACCCCCAGATAGGCGTCGTCCTGCTAACGGTGTGCTACTCTGTTTAAATCCAAATTTATAAATCTTACATTTGTACCTTAGTAACACAGAAAAGCATGGCTTCTTCTGCCCTGAGATCCAACCATCAGCTGTTGCTCACTATTCCTTTTGCCCAAACAGAACCGGGAAAGAAAGCCTTTAGCTACGCATCTCCTTCTGAGTGGAATATTTTACAAAGAAACTGGAAGTTGACTGAGTTTTTATCAATAAATGCTTTTAAGTTGAAAGTGAAAGAATTTGAAGCAGCTTTAACGATCTGTAATTGTTTTACTTGATATGTTTTTTTTATTTTTTATGTACCTGTCATTTATTTTAATGTATCTTATGTAACTTTGCTGCCTCTTGGTCACGACTCCCTTGAAAAAGAGGTTTTTAATCTCAACGTGATTTTTTTCCTGGTTAAGTAAAGGTTAAATAAAATACATAAGTCTGTTTCACACATGCTCACTTTAAAGATTTTCCAGCAGCCAGGGCTGACGTTAGCCCGTCTGCAGCAGCCAGGGCTAACGTTAGGCCCGTCTGCAGCAGCCAGGGCTAACGTTAGGCCCGTCTGTAGCAGCCAGGGCTAACGTTAGCCCGTGTGCAGCAGCCAGGGCTAACTAATGTTCTTCTCAAGAACATACTTGGCAAGAACTGGAGTCTGTACTCCGCATCGTTGTTGTTTTTCTTCCCGTTTCTGCATAGCAAGACACAGAATAGTGACTTTTGTCGTGTATTAATGCCATTCAGGCCAAATGAATGCAACCTGGTCGTTCAGACGCAGGTCGCATTTGAAAACATCAGATTCGAATCTGATTCATGACCACATAGCCAAGTGTTCTAGGTCGCAATGGAAAGAATTGGATCTGTGTCGTTCAGACATGAAAAGATCGGATCCAGGCTGTATATGGGCCAGAAAATCGGATTTGGGTGACTTAAGGCTGCTTGGTGAACGTAGCCTTAGCAACACATCGACCAAAGAGCTTCATGGATTAATGCTTCTTCTCACCATCACCTTCTTTCCCATACTTCCCATAGTTCTTTCCCACTTTTATTGAATTATTGATTGTATTAAATTATCGAGAAAATTCAGCAGCATTTATTGCCATTTATGATCCTTGAATTTGACATTAACCAGAGCTTCTGAACCCTGAACTGGTGATTTTATCTACATCTAGCTGAACACATTATTCCAAATATGGTGTCATTTTCCTGTTAGCCTAAAAACTGCTGGTAGTGAAACGCTACAACTCCCAAATACTTGAAAAATGACGTCAATATTTTTTTTAAACCTTCCCAATGCATTCTGGGTTGATGATGTCGTTTAGGCCCGGTTCCATCTCTCTCACTCTGAAGGGATAATTTTAAGGGTTAAAGGGCACTTCCCCCTAGCTCTTAAAGTTATTAGGACACACTAACCTTACACACGAACGCAAAGAAAACGAGTGCTTGGGTCCAAAAAGAGTTCAAGTGAGAGAAATGGGACAGGGGCTAAGTCTTATGGACTGAAACATTATAGAGCAGGGGTCTAAAGACCCCAAACTATGGGGAGATGGAGCGGGGACCCCATAATTATATATATCGTATGAAATATTCTATATTCTATAGTCACTCTATTACAGATGGAGTAATGTAACTAAAGTAATTTCTCCCTGGGATTATTAAAGTATTTCTGATTCCTGGTTGATGGGACAGGTGTTGTGAATGAAACGTTGTCCAGCTTGAAAGAGCTCCTGTGTGTCGCTGAATATGTGCATTGATGACTGAAAGACATCTTCTGCCTCCATTTATCAACCAATACTTTAGCGACCCCATGCAGTACCTCTGTGGAACCCCTAGGGGTCGCAGACCCCCTGTTGAAGACCTCTGTTAGAGTGAAAATTTCCTCCTCATCTTTAACACCCGTTGTGATTTCTACATTTCCATCAACGCACTCTGGTTCAAACCGGAAAAGGTGGAACTCACTGTAGCAGCTAGCGGCTAACCTAGCATCCGTCATTTCCCCTGAAAGCAGAGCAGTGTAAACAATATGGTAGCATCCATACCACAATATTTTATTGACATTTATAATAAACTTGCAATATTTTTACTGTTTTTACATAAAAAATGATAATTTTACAAATAGTTCAATGTTTCAGCCAATCGTGGATCCATTGCAGTTTTGGGACGTAATCATTCCAGTGTGTAAACACGCTTCTGTCTCCATGTTCACCTTTATTTTGTCTTATTGAAACCCTTTTTTCAAATTGATCAGGTTAAAAAACGTATAATAATTATATGAACATAATTAACGACCCAAATCTGTCATTTTTATTTTTATTTCTTGTCATTCTGACCAGAAGTCTTTGGTTTTTACAGCTTATTTGAGCTTAAACAATTTAAAAGCAAAGTTTGGAGTCAGAAAAGCTTTTGAAAGGCGTTGCTGGTCTGAAGGTTCTCAGAGCTGACTTTAAAAAAAGCAAGAGTCATAAATCATTATGGAGGCAAAGAAAGGCATTTAGAGGCTGTTATTGAACTTGAACTTCCATTGGAGTTGGCGAATGTTTCCTGCTGTTTAGACGGAGAGAAAAGCGCTTTGCTCGGAGAATAATTAGGAGGTTTGATGAAGGAGATCTGAGGTTGCTCAGACTCTACGGGGATTGAATATTATCAAGCCCTTGAACGATCAGGGACACGCTGTGACTTTTGTCAAGTGCATAAAATGAACTATGGGTGTTTTTTTGTTCTCTTAAATTGGAAGGTAATTACATATCTTGTCAATATGAGTTTAGTAATATTATTCAGATTGGTCCATCTGGATTGCAAAGCAGATCTGAATATTGCGGGTCATTAATGTGTCGCAGTGATTTCGCTCTGCTTCCTTTCATTGGGCTGGTGTCTGAATGAAGCCAGTGATTTGAATGCTTTAAATAAATGCTGGGGCCTGATTTTCTCCTCTGTCTTTTTGAAGAGCCCTGAACTCTTCCCTGAATGTGCTGCATTCACCACTTTTCATTAAACTCCCGCCTTTCAGGAACTCAACACTTTCCCCTCTGTTTGCTTTTCCTACGTGATGCTTCGCGTGATGCATCCTGCACAGTCCCGCACCTACACCCAAACACAAGGTCAGCAGGTGTTTGGAAATCTTTGCAGCAGATCTGCGGCAGATATTGGCTGATAAGGATGGAGTGTGACGGAGTACGCCAGCAGATCTGCAGCAGATTTTGTGTTTCAATGTGGGTCCTGGATTGTGGGAAGGTGCAGGATGGCAGCCAGTGACTGAGGGTGAAGGCGTACTCTATGGAAGTAAAACAGTCTCATTGAAATCTGCCTTTTCTGTACACCGAATTTTAAACACTGAAGATTTTTACACATTGAATTCCTTACACTGAATTTTTATGTTTTTTAGCTGCAAAAAAATCAGCTGCAAATGTGTCGACCAAAGCAGTCGATGCAGCCGAGCAGCTTCTTGCCAATGAAATGAGCTCATTGTTAGAGTGATAATTATAAAATTATTGGGTGGACATATGAAACATTGAAAGAAAGAGGATGTTACATTTCTATGCTGTGAATCAACCAGAAGGGTCATAAACTTTTATGACCTCCCCACACGAATGCATGAAAACGCTGCAAAATGTATGCCAGGCCTGTAAGTGGCGCTGTGGTGCCAAAGCAAAAATAAGCGACGAAATGTTGGGCATGCGCACTAATATTTATACATGGTTGCCCTGCGGGTCCATTTTCGTGGTTAGATTCTGTTGTAAGCCCGACAGCAGGGTGAGTAGCATTAGCAGCAACGGCGCCATTGTTGTTGTGATACTGTGTCGCGCATGCGTGTTTAGAGGCAACGCTATGACGCATGCGTGTAAAAAAAAATATGCGGTTAGAGCGTAAAGATGGAAACGTTTCGAAATCTTCCCACTCTGAAGGCTGAATAAAAAAAAGATCGTTTACAGACCCCCGAAACGCCGGCTTCGTGTGGATGAGAAGCTGGTTTGGTGAAAAATTTGTGCATTTAGGCCAGGGTTCGTCTTCGTGTGGACGGGGCCTGAAACAAAACAGACTGTTATGTTTGTACTCATATTCCTACTCCTATGAATACAATATGAATTGAAAGACTCATTTTGTCAGGAAGTTTGACGCTTCTTCCGGATGAAACCAAATGCCTTTGCAGACGGGGGTGCTGCACTGTGATCGGCTCAGTTTTTTCACCCAGTCACATTAGATGGAAAACTCTGATGGCTGTCTATTAGTAGCTACCTGACATTTTATAATCATATTTATTTAACAGGAAAAACTCCTCATTCAGCTATGCCCAACTGTTGCGTCACGTGACCAAATGAGCTCATTTCATTGGCTCAGGGTTCCTGAAGCATTAGGCAAGTTAAATTCAAGACTTTTTAAGACTTTTTAATGCCACTTGAAATAAAAACTTGAGACCAAATTCACAAGAAACACAAGAAAAACCTGCTTGTGACAACTTAACCCAAAGGTTTATTTTAACATAAACCACTGCACTAATGTTTCAAATTTTGAAAAATTTCCCATACAGGAAGAAAGCTAAAAACACACAAATGACAGATATATTTGAACAATAATTTAACTGAATTCACAAACTTTGTTTTAGCAGGGAACAAAACAAATCAGTTTTAAAGCCACAACATAACCAGTCTTTTTTGCAGCTATTTTTCTTTGTATCATTCTCTTAGTATGTTTGATTTGGTGATAAGTGGAGACGTTGTAGAGA